TACTTCAAGATCCATTACATGTGCAAGGTCTTTTGTTCCTCTTGACTTCTGTCATTTTGGCACAAATATTTTTTTTTTTAAAAAAAAGAAACAATTCGAGAAGGTTCAATTGTCCGAAATGAATTTCATTAACATCAATTTCTTAAAAATTCTCGTTGGCAATTATGTATGGTCAAAAAATTAAATTATGAAAGGAAAACTTTTGCTTAGTTTTTAAAAAGAAACAGTGTAAACCGATTAATGACTCTCTTCGTCTCTTTATCTCTACTATACTAATATATAAATGTCAATTGCATTTCCAATTTTTACACACACTTTTTTTTATAAATTGTTTAAAATAAATTAAAAAACAAAAAGCACACATAAGTATTTTATTCATTTTGTATTTATATATTGTCGAATAAATGTTAATAGAATTTTTAATCTTTTATATTTTTACCTATATTATCAAAAATAAATTTAAATATATAAATTATTGCACAAGTATTTTTTTCATATTAATTATACCATCACTTCCAAAATTTAGTTTTGACAATTTCTAATAGTATCCCAAACATCTTCTTAATAGTTGTTGGAAAATAAAACATATTTTCAATTTTATTTTGAAAATTTATATTACTTTTAAAATGAAATTAAAATACATGAAATGTGTCTATTTATACACTCACCTCCTATGTAGATGCAAGTATTGTGTTACCCGAGTAGTTGGGTTACTCCCTATATCCAGGAGCATGTATCCTAGCCTTACACCCTACCCCCTCCCCTATAACCACTAACCCCTAAATATTGCCTAAATAACATTGACATCACCTTTAGTTTCAATATAACATTGACCTCTTCTCTGGTTCAAGTATGAGTTGTAAGGGATATTAGCTCTCTTTAACTCACTAAATGATCGGCTATTGTAAAGAATTAAATCCCTACTTCATCACACAGCGAAAGCATCATCACATCACATCAACACAAGTATATATGAACAATTATACACATCCATATACAAAATAATATTTTACATTATTCACCCAACTCCAGAGTTACATCCATGGAGAGAGAGAAGAGAATATACAACCAAATGTCAAAATTTCACTTACTCACTCATCATCTCTTTTGAAGCTACACATATACACTCGGAAAGTACATATACTCTCCTATTTTCTCACAACACTCACCCTTTAACCCCTTACATCTATTCTCTCTTTTTAATCTTTCAACCTCTCACACCCATCTCTATTTATATAGTCTTCAAATACAATTATTTATTGGACAAGTATTTCCCAACTTGCATACAAGGAGTTACCATATCAATCTTCAACTCTAAAATAACATAACAGTCTTCTGGCTTCCCTTGTTCAACTGATTCAACTTTTTGAACTAGTTCAGTTGAGCTTATCATATCCAACTAGTTCAAGAAAAAGTTGAACTAGTTCTAAATAACTTGAACCTGTTCACTTCTGTCAGAATTGGCTTGAATTCAGTCTTCACTTGCTCCTCCATAATTCCACCTCGAACCAAATATTATGATGAAATTGAGAAACACTCTAACATGTGTAACACTGACCTCTCCTATTATAAAATCAGTCTGCCCATGCTCGAAATTTATTTAAAACCCTATAATACCCTTACAAAGCTTAAAAAGTTACTGTATTTTGCATATACTTTGAACAAATAAGACTATGAAGAACAGTAGTAGATCCTAAATATGAGTCCATGTGAATGCATGCAATTGTGGGACACGAGTCCATGTGGCACATGTACCCAATTCAGTAGACAAGACTGTTCGGCAACTTGCATTGAAGACCTTAATATTTGGATCACGAAAAGGCCAAACAACAGGTAAATCGCTTGAGACGAATTGTGTCCCCTTCTAAGCTGTCCCAAACAAGGTACACCCGTACTATATCGTAACACGGTGACAACTCATGCTCGATTGGGGTTCACTACTACTATTATCAAATGAATGCCAAAAAAAAAAAAAAAAAAAAAAAAAAAAAAAAAAAAAACCTTGATATACTCAATAGAATATATGATTAGTACTTCACCAGGACATATATATATATATATATAGTTGAAAATCCTCACAATTGTTGATGGGACACTAGATCATAATGCACCAGTCTTGTAGAGGAATGAGGCCACGGAAACAAAATTCTACAAGTCCTTTGAATTTCACGGAAAAATATATATATTACTGGTAATTATTTGTTCAATTTAATATATCTCCTCTTTCAATAGGGTTCGAGGTTTTCTAAAGGACGAGTCTCTACCTCTCTTGTACTGCTCCTTGATTAACATATTATTATGGTGTAGAAATATAGCTTAAAATCACTACTTTAACAACATTGACATATTAACAAACTCGAACCATAACTTCACTCTTGTTTCTTGACATGGATATACATTGATTTACCACCATAAAAAATACTTCTAAAATACTTGTGCAAAGGGATAGTATTATTGGTGTTCTGATTGGTGCTTGAATTTAAGCCACATTAAGTGGAATTTTTTTTCTGTCCAGTAAATATGGTGTCTTAGATTAATATGCTGATGAATTGGGATCATTATACATGCAATAAAATGAATTAGTAAATTAGAATTGAAAAAGTTAGTGATTTGGTTATGATTTTTTATTTTTTTATTTATTTTTTTTTTTTTTTTTTTTGACGTGAAAAAAAACTACCTATTATTTATCATGTTCGTTGATTTTTTTCCTCATCAAATACTCTGACTCCACCCTTGAAATGAAATCCTAACTCTACTCTTGCATATGTGTGAGAATATGATTTAAAACTTTACAACGATATATTTAGTTCACAATGGCATCTTAAATCTAACTATGATCAATACTTATTCATTTGAAGATTTGTTTGGTTTAATTTTATAAAAATAGTCTTCTGATTTCTTAGAATATTTCTAATCGTTGTGTATATTTTTATTATATGTCAAAATAGATTTACACAAAAAATTTAGATTATTTTTTTTTTAACTCCAGCAGTTGTTTTATACCTTATGTGTAAAAATATATCCCCAATAATAATCAACCAGTATCATGCCTAGACCCCACATAATTTTTACGAACTTATTTAATATAAGATTGATTCGTTAATGGAATGAGAAAGAGGAAAGAGAAAGGAAATATGCTGATGTGACTGTGTAAAAATATTATGTAAAATACATAACAATTTTACACCTTGATGACGTGGCAGTGTATCTTAACAGACTACCGAAAATAAAAATAAAAAATAAAAATTTATAATGTATATTTTACACAAAAAAATATTTTACTGTAAATGCTCTTAAACTTAAGAAATCATACAATTTTACAAAGATATATTTAGTTCACAATTTCTAAAATTAAAAAAAATAATAAAAAAAAAAAAAACCAATCTTCATAGAACTACAAATTTTTTAAAAATATTTTTGTTTTATTTTTTAAGTATTTAAGAATTGCTTAGCCTAACCAATCGGAGTGGACAAAATTCGGTGAGGTCAGAAGTTCAATTTGTTGGCAGATGACGTCCACTTATTACAACCCTAGCAAATCCAAGAAGACCACATCAGCCTTTTGTTTGAACTCTTGTATGAAGTTTATGCTTAGCAACAATAATGCATGGTGTCACACCATGTGTAGGAATTTATTGTTGCTGCTGAAAGAATTAATGCCATGAGACTCAATGAGTGGCTATCGGAACATCCTGACAGCCCCAGGAAGATAAAATTATGGAAACATATCTGATTGGGAAATTGTAAGATATGTGGTTCACCGAAATTACAGCAACAACAAAAAAAAAAAAATGCATGGCCCCCTTTAGTGCCACATGTCCTGACCAATGTACATAGTCAAATGTTTCGAATGATTGCTGCAACTTGGAAGCAAAAGTGAAAAGACAAAAATAATAATAATAATAATAATAATAATAATAAATAAATAAATAAACAAAACTCCAGATCTCAAATCCAATCTTGGAATATAGTTAGGTTGCGTTTTATAGCATAGAAACAAAGATATTGAGCAAAGTGACTAGCTTTCTATTATTTCAGTTTTAAGACGGATCCCATAGTGTCCCATGCAGCACAAGATTCTATGTTTTCCGGAATGGAGCATGAAGAAAACTAACAATACAAAGAATTGGCTTCAAAAAGAAAAATATAGAAGAAAGAAAAAATTCTGGTGTGAGCTAAAAACCCTTAGAAGTCACAAATATCTTCTATAAATATCTTCTAGTGAACCGTCTTTATTTATACAAGTGGCCTCTACTATATATATCCACTATCTGCTTCGGTTATTCTTATCCTGATTGATATTTTGGAGTTTAATGGTTGTGCTAAAAAAAATTTAAAATCTAACCTCTGTCAACCGTCTATTTTGAGATTTTGGAGTTTAATAGTATTTGCTTAAAAAAATTAAAATCTAAACTCTGTGAACAGTCTATTTTGATCTAAACTTGAATTATTCAATCCAATCCAACGTTTCCCAAATGATTACAGTCAACCATTTCCATTCAGTACTTCATTTTCTTCTAAATTTTAGAAGAGAAAATGAAATACTTGAGTATTAGTGAATTTCTTAATGGTAATGTTGCAACTTAAAAAGTCGGCCATTGCATCCTAAATGCCTCCACAACAAGTAGTGTTGGTAGATGTACCACCAGCAAAGAACCAAAAAAGCTAAACTAATAATTTCAATACCGGTTTAGTATCTAAAATTGTTTGGAGATTAACCACCTTAAACCTTATTTTGTTTGGATTATATATCATTATACAATCACACCACAAACCCCTAACCAACCCATGAACAAACACGTGTAAAGATTTTCAGATCCACTCACTAATTAGTACTGGCATCAACATGTTCAATAGGTAGCAATGCTGATTTACACTATTTAAGGGCAGCAAGATAATACAGCTTTCACCTCAGATACTAGATGATCAAGACCTTCAAGATGTAAAATGCATTTTAGAGATCCGAACAAGCAGGCATTATAAATTTAGAACACGGCAAATTCCGCGGAAGAGAATGCTGAGCACTGATACCTCAGGTCTGACCACAAACTTAAAAAGATTAATGACAATATTTTTCCATGTTCAAAAACCTGCACAAGCAGCAAATGGTGACGCTAACAATCACCACATATATGTTCACTAGGGAGAAGAGATCCCTCAAATATAAACTCAATCAACCATTTGACAAAATTTGGTTTCTTTCAATGTTACTTGCCTATCTGTTCTAAATCCAAGGAATATGATTTTCAAATCTATAAAATCCCAAACCAAGACCAAAAAACAGAAAAAAGACTTATAGCAAGACAAAATATGACAAAGCTCCTACCTAATTCTTCCAATTAGATTCAAAGTCAGTCATCACACTGCAGTGAGAAAACCACATACTGTCATCCCCTCTGCCATCCACCACCATTTCGAAACTTCCCTCCTAGTATTCACATTCTTCAATTGCATGCATGTACTATATTTACATCCAACAGAAGCTGCAATATCAACCTGTGTTAATATGGTCGCCTGAGCTTTTCAAGTGAGAAATCATCATAAGCTTCCTCCCAGAACTCTCCTCAGTTCTGATTTCTGTTCCGTGGTAAGCCTCGATGGGTACTTGACATCAAACTTGATCCTCAAATTTCCCTTCTTCCTAGGTTCCTTTGAAATTGGCATTCCTTCATTTGGGACGACAAGCTCAAAGCCTGGTTTTATGATATCTGTCAACGGGATTACGACATTCCTTCCATCCAGGGTTGTCAACTCAAGGGTCTTCCCTGTGAGGGCCTCCAGGAGAGTGATCTCCTGATTGAACACCAGATCATTACCATCCCTCAAATAAACTGCATGAGGCTTCTCATCTACCACAAAAATAAGATCTGCTGGAGTGACACCAGGTTCCTCATTACCCTTCTCGGGAAATGTGATTTTTGTGCCTTTCTTCCAACCAGGTTTTATCTCTATGGTCAAAATCTCCTCCACAGGTCGAAGCCTACTGCAAGAGAGTTATTGGTGTATCAAAAGGAAGCAACAGAAGAGAAGCCAAGCCTTCATTCAAAGGAATAAAATTCATGTGAAATACAAACAAACAAATAAAAAATAGCAGATCGACACTATAGAATGCTATTGTTATCAAAGGGAACCCAGTCTTCTAGTCCCCTAAACTAAAAAGGGCAATAAAATAATCTAGCATCTATTGCAGCTTTAAATTTGGTATAGATCATCTATTTGTCTCAACAAGATTATACCAGGAAGTTGGAGTGCTGACTCCTCAGCTCAAAATTCTAACAGCTTACACAATTAACATTTCTGGCCCAAATCGTTACAGAAACTATCCAAAGGAAAAATAGGAGTGAGAAAGTGAAAAATTAGAAACTCACTATGTTAACCGGAAAGAAAGCAACATTATACGACCCAAAGACAGCGAGATAGAGAGAGGACAACCATATGGGTCTTGAGGAAAACCATCCATGACTGATATTAGAAATCAACAGAGTAATGAGGGGGAAAATCAAAAGATATCAGAACATTAGGTTCTTTATGAAGATGACCAGAAGCAAACCAAAAGTGAAACACCTCCAAAACCTTTTGAAGAGAAATCCAAAAAGCAGAAGTTTCCTCACTGGGCAAACTCATTTAAATATGTATTTGATGAAGTTGCTTATATGTAATACTTAAATTTCCTCACTGGGCAAACTCATTTAAATATTAACATCTTCAGGCTGAGCTGAAATGATGTTTCCCTACAGGTCAGAGAATGTGATGGTACCAAATCCAAGATGATTATATTACAATTTCCAACACAGCAGCATCAAATAAAAATAAATAGATAAATAATAATAATTAACACATACACAACAAAACATGCCCAGAAACTTTTAGTTTAATAATTACTTAAACCACAATATCACGGAAGGAATCTGATTCCACGCAACACAGTCTAAAACTAGATTCTCTTTCCGCACTTAAAATAATAGACAGATTTATCATTTTTAAGTATTTTCCTTCAATAAAATTAAACCATTATTACAACCTAAATCTACACAATTGAACATTAAAGAACACCATAGTTAGTGACACCTAAACTATATAATCCTGACATTATGACTCAGGGTAGTGTATTATTTTTCCTGGGGTTTTGGCCATTTTTTATTTGAACTTTAAATTCTCTAAAATCCATTGAATACGAAGAACATTATGGCTATTTGATCAGGTTCTAATGAATATCATTAGTATTGGAATGATGTACATGATTTTCAAAGTTTTGTACACTTATTTCATTTACTTGTAGAACAGAAATCGAATACAGATTACAGTTGAGTTTTTTTAGTTATTATTTCTTACATGGACACTCACATTTCTTCAAATTACCCATGTAGACACCACACAACATGGGTATGGATACGAGATCTGTCCGACACACGTATACAAATCAGACACCACAATCCTTTACCAAGGATGCTTGAAGAAACATTAAAATTGGGGCTGCCCCCTTTGTCTTTGGTGGGGGTCTTTGGCAGGAGAGGAATAGGAGATCATTTGATGGGAAGGAGACTCCTATATGCGTGCTCAAGTTCGATATTCTTAGATCTTTAGTTTTTTTGGGATCATGGTCGACACTGTAAATCTGTGGAGAATCTTTTGTTTTTTGTGGATAGTCTGTAGATATAGCAATGCTTTTGTTCTTTTCTTTGTAAGCAGTATGATCCCCTCTTGAGCACCTTATATAATACTTTGCTTATTAAAAAAAAAAAAAATTAATTAAAATTTTATAGCACGGGTAACTACAAAAATATATGGAAACCCACTGGGTGGACACCTTACTTTTGGACTATGTCTGGCATTGGTGCCAGGTATCACATGTGGGTTGTACATTTTGTCTGTATATATCGGTTGGGCATTCTGCCCAACCAATTCTTTCTTTTCTTTTGATACCGCTCACCTCCAACGACATAATTTCAAATGGTAACTTGTGGGCCTATTTACTATCAGGAAGCATCCTTGTACCTTTCAATTGGGTAGCAACTTTTACTATCCTTTCATCACCTATGGTTGCCCCGGCCTCCTCTTCCAACCAAGAGGTTGTCGATCCAAATGACAATTGTTTGGTAAGGGTGGAACATATCCAATCTGAAATAAACAAGTTTCAATTGATCCGCTTGTGCTAAATTTTGTTCGCCACCAACAGTCCAACTTCAACGAGCCGACGATACAAAGAGGGCAGATTCCACCCCCCCTAAGCCGGACGAAGTGTGTTTTTATGAGATCACGCATGAGTCAAGATTACGCTTTCCACTTCCTAGCTTGGTAAGAGAGGTGCTTTATCTTCTCAAGATTTATCCCTCGCAACTCGCTCCCAATGGCTGGAGAGCATTAATAGGGAGCATGATTCTTTGGCATCTCTGTAGCCATGACTCTTGTGGAAGTTTTCTATTTCTTTCGTCCTTCAAAGATTTATGGCGATTGGGTTACCTTTTATAGGATTTAGCGGTGCGATCGAGACCTCCTGCCTGAATTTCCTAACCACAAGGGTTGGAAAAATAAGAACTTCTATGTTCATGGTAGTGGCTAGGAATTTCATCCTAACGCAACCGCTAAAGATAAGAGTATCTCAATGCCTCGGACATGGGGTGACATCTTCTCTCTGTCTGGTAAGTCTTGCCTTTTTCCGATCGCAGTTGACTCGTTTTACTTTTACTTTTAGCTAATTAGTACTTTGCTCAGCAGATACTCAGACTGACTAGCTCCTTACCCCCAAGGAAGAGGAGAGAGTGCAGAAGGCTCTATAGTATTCATGTTCGGTGGGGGGTTGGTCGTCTTTAGTAAATCTGAGGACCGTGCTTTTGTTCGTAGTAAATCCTGAAGGAAGTGGCGGGACTTCTAAATGTCCCCCCTCCGATAACACACTCTAACACCCTCTCTGTGTAGCTCTAATTACTTCCCGCATCTTACTCTTCGCTCTCTTTTCTTTTTACGCAGGGACGCTAGGTTCCTGTCCAGACAATCGTCATTTAAATCGACAACCTCTTGATTGGAAGAGGAGGCCGGGGCAGCCATAAGTAATGAAAGGATAGTAAAAGTTGCTACCCAACTGAAAGGTACGAGGATGTTGCCCGATAGATGGCCTTAAATAGGCTTAAAAGTTATCGTTTAAATTGTGTCATTGGAGGTGAGTAGTATCAAAAGAAAAAAGAATTGGTTGGGCAGAACGCCCAACCAATATGTATAAACAAAATGTACAACCCACATGTGATGCCTGGCACCAATGCCAGGCATCACAAATGTCCACCCACGTGGGTGGACATTATTTGATTAAAAAAATATAAAAAAAGAAGGATTGTAAAGATGGTTGGGCATACACCTAAAGGTTCTACCTAAGTGCTGGGCACTTGGGCAGTACGTGACCCAAATGTCCACCCACATGGGTGGACGTTGTTTTTTATTTATTTATTTTTAAATAATAATAAAAAATAAAAAATAAAAATAAAAAATAAAAAAAGTGTGTTATGAGGATAGTTGGGCTCAAACGCCCAACCAATGGGTTCTACTTAAGCGCTGGGCACTTAGGTAGGTGCATGATTAAAGTGTCCACCCGTGTGGGTGGGCATTATTTCAATATATATATATATATATATATATATATATATATATAAATTGTCCTCTTGGTGGACATGTCCATGTATGTATTATGTGTGTGTGTGTGTGTGTGCACATATATGAATAGATAGTAAAGAATAAAGTGAAAGAAAATATTATTTTGCTAATTTATCTTTCAGGGAAAAGTAGGGAGTTAGAAGCGACTAAGCATTCCCTCTGCAAGACGAGCACGCCAGGGAATGGGGGCCAACTGATGTGGGACTTCTAATCGCAATAGGAAGTTCGAACGACACGGCATAGAAGTTGAACGGGTTGTGACTCATAAATAAGATGCCGATGCTTTACGTCTCCTATTCTTGCTCGAAAAGTAAAAGAGAAATAAGTTCCCTACTTGAATAGTGCTACTAATTCCTATAAAAAGGCGAGACCGGTCAAACCAAAAGGTACACAAAAAAAACCTAGAAGAAATCTACTCTTTTTCCTTCTCTTTCGGATTTGGTTCTAACTTGATCATCGGAAACCTTTAGGACGGTACCACACCGGTGCCTCTCCGGTAATATTTCCCTTGCAGGTTTCGGGTCGCAGCAGCAGGAATTTGCTTCAACAATAATAATCAAAGTACTACTCAATAGAAGCAAGCCAATGACAAAAACTGTAAATATCAACCCTTCCTCTGAAATCTGAAACTTCTACCTTAACCTTATTGGAAATATCTTTGGCTGCATTTGTGAATCTTATTAAACTTTCTCAATAAGTCCCTAGTCCAACCATACATGGGATACTGTGGTACTCCACAACACTAGACAGTCCTTAGTTGTTGCCCTCAAGAAGGATTTGCATGCTGGTCTTTTTGTTGTTCATCTTAATTCACCTTTACTTACCATTCATGTTACCCAGACTCGGTAAATGAATTGGGTGCAGGTGAGTGTCAAGTGTCGTATCTCCTCGAATCCCAAATCTAAGGATACAGAAATATACATCCAAAAGTTGGATACGGATAGGTAGACATGTACTGCGCATGTAAATATATTATATCTTTTATTATAGTGTAATGTTTAGTGTTGTTGTTTTATACGAATCTACTCAATCATGCCATGCAAAGGATCGGATTGTCTGATATGGGTTCGTGTGCCAGACACATATCATGTACCCATACCTACCTGTGTCGTGTTGAAACGGGTACATGAAAAAAAGTAGTATAGTCCATATAACAGAGTTTACAATTATTATAACTCATGGCATTGTATGTCATTGCACCACCATTGGATTGAATAGTTTGGCTATTTGGATTCTTAATCTAACATCAAAAGTCACTTTACTCCATTATTTGAATAAAGAATCATTTCTCGAAGATTATCAGTCAATCTCCTAAATGACCTTCCCAAGCATGTAGGATGA